CTGGGGAAGTACTGGGTTTTTTTCTTTCTCTCTTCCTGGTTTTTTCTCGACAGGGTTGTTGCATATCTCTGAGGAAAAATCTGGAAATTTTGCGACATGTTTTGGGAAATCTGATATGGTATGTTTGTGTGAAACGAGTATTAGTTTGGAACTAGTACTGGATAAGATACTTTTGTGCCTTGATAACATTCTATTTGGAAAAATCGAAAAAATGTTATCTTCCAGTTTGCAGAACTGATGTTCTAAACAAGTTTGATTTGTTTTTTTTTTTAGTTTGCAATCATTCTTTCAGTACTTGACTGGTATTTTTTTAGGCACATTTGACAAGTGGTTTTCAAAATTTTGGGTGATTCATGAATATTATGCACCAAATCTTGAGTTTGTTTGAAATGATTTCTCAATTATGATTTAATATGTTGTCCAAGTAATTTTTGAAACTATTATTAGGTTTTACAAGAAGTTTCTATGGGGCACAAAGTTTATTGAATGAAGTCAAACATCTGTGGGAATTATTTATGGAAAACTGAAATATGTTATGCATCAAGTGAACAAGAAAATAAACCTTGTTAATTCTCATGTGTTTAAACTTGAATTTAATTATTTTTGAAATCTGGTGGATTTGAGGAAATCATATTGTGAATCTTTTGTGTCCATTTAAGTTTTTTTCTTGGAAATTTTTTTATTTTCATTTAAAGTCTTTTTCATGTAAGTTACTGGTGGAAAAAGTAGCTGAAGTACAGAATGTGGGTTTCAAATTTTGATGAAGTATTACAGAATTTTTTGATTTTTTTTTTCAATATGGGGCATTTATTTAAATTGAAGAACTTCCCTTTATTATATTATCATAGGGAGGAAATTGAGGTAATTTTTGAATTTCTTTTTCCAAAACTCAGGGTTGAGTTCAGGCGTTTTTTAAAATGGGAATTAATTTTTTATAGGTTTCTCATTTTATTTTTAGATTTTTTTCTTTTGGGAAAAGTGTGAAAATTTGAGGTTGTGTTTGGAGATATTGTACAATTTAAAAGAAATTTTGGGGTTTTGAAATTTTTTTGAAATCTTCCCCCATTTTTTCCAGTTGGTTTTTTTTTTGTATTATTATTATTTTTTTTCTTTCTTTTGGGGAAGACAATGAAACGTTATTTTTGTTGCGTCAGGATGTCGCAGAAGTCGGTGCAGGAGAAGTCTTTTCTGGACGGGAAGGAGACGTTCAGCGAGTCCTCGTCAGCCCAGGAATTCAGGCGCGTACTAACAACTCACTTATTTGTCTGCGGTTCTTCCATTTATCCCCCTTTCTTTCTTTTTTTTCACCTCCTCCTCCTCCTCCTCTTTTGTGGTCGTCCATTTCACTTCCTACTCCTTTTTTCCCCCGGCTTGTTTGCGTAGTTGATTTGAGTCAACAGCACCCTGCATGTGGTTTTTGTGGTACTGTACTTGTATCGCATTTCAGTCGCACTAGATGGAGGCACAGGAGGGTGGTTCATAAAGTTTTGTTGGTTGTGTGTGTTTTCTTTTTTTTTTCTTGGTGGATATGGACATGAATTGTGTATTTCATTATTTATGGACCACTTTTTATATGATATGAAAGTGGGGAAAATATTGTATATAGAGAAGGAGATTAATGTCCAAATTTTTGAGGAGGAAATGTGCATTTGGTCAAGAAAAAATGGCTACCAGAGCACTGGAAAAACATTTTTGTAATTGTCATTTTTAAAATTGAAATTCTGTCAGCCAAATTTAATCAAAATTGGATGTATGTTCAAGTGGGAGAAACTTGATTTTAACTCCTGGGAAATGAAGTTCTAAATCCATCACTTGCATTTGTGATGGGGAGGTTTTTTTTATACCGTAGTAAGTCTGAAGGTTAGCAAATTTTCCAAACAATTGGAAAAAAAATATTTTAGATCTGAAGACCATGTTATTCAGAGATAGTTTGATAACTAGTGGAGGAAATTCAGATTTTCCTCCACTGTTGCCTGTGTTCTGGATTTTTAGTCATTCTGAATACTATCAAATTTTTCAAACATTTAAAAAATTCTTTCTTGGGTCTTTGTATCAGATCTGTTGATAGAACATGTAAAAAAAAATTTACAAACTGAAATTTGTAAGCCCAAGGTTGTCCAAGTGAGATTATTTTGTAACTGAATGTAAGTTTTGTCTTGTTATTTATTCCCCCCCCCCCCATTACCCCAAGTGTTTTGAAGTGCAGTACTTATTTAAGATTCAGATACTGTATCTTCCTTTTGGGGGCTACTGACAAAACTTTGGAACCAACCCCTGGTAGTGTCCCAGCTTGCATGTCTGGTTTTCATTTCACCAGATACCCCTTGCATGTGGGGTTTTGTATACCCCCAAAGCATCCTCTTGTCAGATTCCAGTGCCTCTGAAAAAAGAAAATGAGTCCCAGTGAGCCATTAGGGGAATTGCACAAGCCACCCAGCCTTTTAACTGCATGCCATTTGGCCTTAATGGCCTTCCACTCCTCCCCCTCCACCCCCTCCCTTTTGGGCCTGCTTGCTTCTGCACATAATCTAGGGTGCTTATTTGGGGGGTACTGTACCTAGATTGCATCTGGACCCCCCCCCCCCCACCCCTGCAATCCCAGTCTGAGTCATCCTGTCTGGGGCAGCCATAAACACAAGGGTCCATTGTGTGGTGAATTATGACCAGACCTAAGTCTGGGGGTGAACTGGGTCATAAGTGTGAGGGGTAGTATCCAGAAGGGAGAGAGAGGAGGAAAAAAGCTTGGTTCTTGAGCATGGGAGGGGTTGGTTTATTTATTATTGGGAGCCTGAAGAAGATCCTGGCTGCTTTTTTTTTTCTTAGCATACACAAGCACACATTCCTGATTCCTTTCACAAAACCCTGATGTTTTGAGTGTCTTGAGCTCTGTGATTTTATTTATTTATTTTGCATTGGGTTGTGCAGCTCTGAGTCAAAGGATTCTGGGGCAGAGGCACCACATAGGTCTGAGCTGAGGACCTGGTTGGATGGCTTTCATTCCCCATTGATCCAAGATGGGAGTGCTGAGGGATCCAAGGCCCTGAAGCTGAGGTTTGATGTGCACAACTATAAGCCAGAAGAGATTGTTGTCAAGACTGTGGATAACAAGCTCATGGTGGGTGTTGTTGTTTTTTTTTGTTGAGAATAGCCCACTCAGTGGTATTCCATCAAATGTCAGAGTCAGTTTTGATTAATTAGCTTGATGATTTGACTTCATCAAGGGATGGTTCACAAGTTCTGTCAGTCTTATTCTGGTTCACATGTGGGTGATGATGATTTTTACAGCCTTATCTATAACCCATTTTATAAACATTTTGCTGATTTTGGCTCACACTGTGAAAATGAGAGAGTTGAAAGTTTTCCTGTCACCTTTCCAAGCTTTTCAAATTTTTACAACAAAGTCATGAGCTCATTAAAAAATCATTCAGTTTTGACAAGAATAAAATAACTTGGTGGCAAGTGAATTTATGTTTGAAGTAGGATTTCTTGCAGCAAGATCTCACTGCAATTTTAAAAACTTTGTTTCCTTGTTCTGGGAAACATGATCCAATGAACAGGGTGCTTGTATCATGGCATTAATTTTTCTGGTAGTTGGCAGTGCTGTTGAATGTTATTGATCCAAGAGTTTCTCAGATTGTTGATGATACTTTAGGAGCGCCCCTTGAAATGGATCAGTAGTGATGTAAAAAGATAAATCATCCAAGGTAATGATGGTGTGTGGGTTTTTTCATGTGCAGGTGCATGCCAAGCATGAAGAGAAGACAGACAACAGGACAGTGTACAGGGAATACAACAGAGAGTTCCTGCTGCCCAAGGGAACCAATCCTGAGGAGATCAGGTCCACCTTGTCCAAGGATGGAGTGTTGACAGTTGAGGCACCCTTGCCTTCACCAGCCATTGGCCAGGAAAAGCTGATCCCCATTGCCCCATTCTGAAGCTGCTTCACCTCTCACAATGCTGCTGAAATCTTTCTAACCCAACTCTTTTTGGCAACTCCTTTTGCTCTTTTTTTTTTGAATAAGGTCAGCTAACAAGAAAGATTCATCCACTTTTTTTGGGCCAACCCTTTTTTGTGGCTGGTAGCCTGAGAAATGTCCAGTCCTTGTGGTTTTTTTTTCTCTCTTCCATCCCTGCACTTAATGTATTGTGGAGATGAAGTCTCAAAAAGGGGTTGAGGATTTGGTTTCAAGTGAGTGTTCTAACCTGATGTGAGTGAGACACAGGAATTTTTTTTTTTTGATGATACACAAGTTTAAAAAGCAAAACTTTGGACTGTTCCGCCCTGTTGGAAGTGACATGGATGGAATAAAGGGAATTGCGTTTTTCTTAGCCATCTTTGTTTGCATTCATATCATGTCACTTGACTCTTATTTAGGTTGGATGAATTGGACTGGAACAGGATTCCCAGATCCCATGCCAACATTAATACCTGTTGGCTTCATGAAGGAAAGCAAAGGATGAGTGTTCATGAATGAAGGAAGGGACACCAATATGTGGTGGTGCTCATGTCCTTGGAAAGCTTTTTCTGCACAGCATTATTCTTGGCCTCAGTCAAAAGGTTTTTGTCTTGAAGCCCCCCCCCCCCCCCCATGGAAATCAATCAAGTGTGGAGAGAGAAAAGTCTGCACAGGTGGAGAAGTGATTTTGGCTCTCAGCCCACATGTGTTCAGGTACTGGGATGGGTGGGTGGGTTTTTGGGAGGGGGGGGGGGGGGGGGGGAAAAAGCAAGTTGAAAATAAATAAATGGGGGGGGGGGGGGGGGGGGGGGGTTTTTGGGGGGGGGGGGGGGGGGGGGGTAAAAAGCATGTGTCTCCTTCCCCCCCAAGTTTTGGAAACCTGCCAAGGACTTCTAAATTCTCAACTGGCCTCTCTCTCTCTCTCCCTCCCTCTCTTAACAAGCTCATGTTAAGTGGGTGGGGGATGAACTCAAGTCCTCATGGTAGGATCATAACATGAAGGAATGGTTTGACACACCATGTCAACAGTCTTTGGCTCACAAATTGATTTTGGAAAGCTTCCCACAATGGTTCATTACAAATCACCATGCAAGGATCAAAGGTACAATAACAAAAGTGGTACAACATTTTTTCTTTTCTTGACATGTGCTGCACAAATGCACACTGTGCAACACTTGCTCACTCTTCAATAACAACAAAAAAAAAATGTCCAACTACATCTCAGGGTACCGGTAGTATACCGTACAAAAACACACCTGGTAACATAGAATCTTTTTGCACTACACCTGCAGAGCATGTTGTCTCAAGTCTTAGTCATCACATAAGTCAGGGTCATGTTCAAGTGCCATATTTTTTTCCCCCTTGTGCTTTTCTTTGGTAGAAAAAGCAAAGGAAATATGGTTCACTCAACATCCAGTGCTGGTGTGCAAGATGGCACACCATGTGTCTGCTGTCACAGTTGCTTTGGTCCAAGCAGGTCATGTCTGGTTGTATTGTACTTTTTGGTTGAATGGATGCATGATGGTCACAATTGAGCTTTGTTCAGAATGAAGAACTGAACCAAGCACAATATATGAAGATGCATGTGATAAATTCATGGATCTATGATTGAAAACTAGTTATTTTAATCCTTGGTTAAATATGTCCTATGTTGGCCATCTTCCTGCTGAGGCAAATTGATCTAAAATTATATTTTGCCATATGATGATCCATGAATTCATTGAAGTAAGGATTCAAGTTTTTTGAAACCAGCCAGATAATAATTGGTTGAAAAGATCCATATAGTGATCTCTTTTTTTTTTAGAATGAGGAAGTTAATTTGAAATATTAAATTGTTGATATGGAGTTTGTACCAGATTTTTGCATGGATTGAAACCAAGAGAATTCAAAGATTGAGTATGCACTCCTGATACTCTTTCTTTGGTTCTAATGGAAATCAATCAGAAATACTATGGTTTGTTGTACCATGTGAAATATATGCTAATTTTAAAAATCAGTGGTTTGAATTATAATGTTGATTTTCTAGGGTTTTAGTGATGGTTTCCTGATGCAGAAAATTGTGAATATGTAACATGACTTTTTCCACTGAAAGCATGCTCCATATCATCAATGCATCCATGCAACCAAGAAGATCAGCAGATTCCAAATGGCTTAAATTAGAAAAAAAAAGGATGAGTTGAAGCTGGGTTTGCTGAATGGTTTCTCTCAGGGCTGAATGTCTTTCCTTGGTGCCCTTTCAGGGATGGTTTGCTTGGATGCCTGATTATGGTACCTGAGGAAAGATACGTCCCAGAGTTGCAAGCGACATCTATAGTCGAGAAAACCTGATAAAACTCACTTCTCAATAGCAGGATAAACTACAGATGTCACTCGACATCCGAATTTCCCAACGCAAGGATTCCTTTTCCTAGTGGCAAAATCTTCTCCCATTTTGGCATAAAAAACAGCTTCTGGACTCTGGACCATTTCCAGCATGTTGGACGAGAAATCGGGGTCTTCGTCGGCATTCCTCTTGCGTCGCCTCGTTTTGGCAGTGGTGGAGGCGGCGGTGGTGGTGGTGGTCGTCGTCGTTGAAGGTGTGGTACCACCGGTGGCGTCCTCAAACTTGGCTGAGGCGGCTTCGATGGCCTTTTGCACAGTGGTTTCCCCTGCTTTGGCGGCCTTTTCGCGGGTCGCTGCCGGGACGGCGCCGCGGTTGACGGAGATTTCGAAATTGTTGAGCGCGTGGGCGCCTAATCCGAGGGCGCCGAGGGTCAAGGCGCCACCCAGGACTATCGGTAAGCCCGGGGCACCAACCACGGTTGCCAATCGCTCGTTGATGCCGTCGAAGGACTCTGCAAGCCCGAGGTTCTGGGAGATTTTCTGTCCTGCTTCTCGGAGTGGACCTGAAATGAGGTTGGCAGAGACATCTATGTCACTTTGTACTAAATAAATACCGTAATTTTGTCTCAAAATCATGCAGGTGTCGCTTGAAGCAAGCGGATTAATCGAATCATCATACTTCATTGTAATTCAAGGAACAACATTTGAAAAACACTTTAAAAAATATCATATTTCATAAATACATTTTAACAGGAATGTGAGAAATGTTTTCCAGAGCCCTGATGGACATGAACCATCTGTCATTCATTACTTGGGATCTTTGCCTGTGCTCAATAAATTTTATTCAGCAAATTAATCTCTTGAAACATGATATTTGTATTGTAAAACAATTTTGTATTTCAACATAAATTGTCACTGTGGTATGAATTTCACTGTGACATGAATGCATGGATTTTGCTGTGAAATGCATGCATGAATTTTTTCTGTAACTTAAATTTAATTTTTAAAAATGGTATTTTAACATGAAAATTTACTGTATCATGGATTTGTTCTGCAATATGAATTTGAGGGTAACATGTATTTGTACTGTAACATAAATTGGTACTTGTACTGTAACATAAATTGGTACTTTTACTGTAACATAAATTGGTACTTTTACTGTAACATAAATTGGTACTTTTACTGTAACATAAATTGGTACTTTTACTGTAACATAAATTGGTACTTTTACTGTAACATAAATTGGTATTTGTCTAATATAAATTGGTACTTTTACAGTAACATAAATTGGTACTTGTACTGTAACATAAATTGGTACTTGTACTGTAACATAAATTGGTACTTGTACTGTAACATAAATTGGTACTTGTACTGTAACAAAAATTGGTACTTGTAGTGTAACATATACTGGTGCTTGTGAAAATTCATGGTACATGTACTTTTACTGTGATATGAATGTTTACTCTGACATAAATTGGTACTGTAGCAAGAATTTGTGCTGTAACATTACATTCCAGTGTTACAGGATTTTGTACTGGGACTTGAAAAAATATAGCTTCCTGATATTCTTGTGGAAATAATTTTCTTTGAAATGAAACTAAGGGTGTAGTTTTATTGGTATACAAATAAATTTGTTCAGGACTCACCCATGACAGGATTGACAAAGCTTTGGAACTGCTGGTACCTTCTTCTCATGGCCTGTCTCACAGTCTTGCCCATCTTACTCACAGGACCATCATCACCATCCACTTGTCTATGTGGTGTGGGTCTTCCAGGCCTGGAATGACTATGCAGCACATGTGGTGGTGGTGGTTGACGTCTGCCAGGCACTGGTGGTCTCCTGTGTGGTCTCTGTTGCCTCAATGCTGGTTCAGGGGCAAACAACTCCTCAAAGCTTTCATCATCACCCAAAGCAGCAGCAGAGGCCCCAGGCTCTTCATAGACAAAGTGGGTGTTGATGCCTGACAGTTGTTCCACTGGCACAGGCACTTGCACTGAGAACCTGCTGTTGTCAAATTGCACATTCTTGATGGCAAAATCTGAGGGGTCTGCTGGACCAATGACCACTCCACCATTGAATAACTTTTGGCCTGCCTGTGGTGGGGGGTCACCAAAGTTGAACTGAGTCTGGGGATGATGTTGTTGTTGGTGCTTGTTGTAGTTGTTGTTGTTGTTTTTGTTCTCATCAGAATGGAGGTAATTTGTTTCAAAACCCTTGAATGAGCCTCCTTGAGGCTGCTGCTGGAAGTTGGAGAAGTAATCAGAGACTGGCTGTTGTTGATTCTGCTGCTGTTGCTGATTTGGTTGTTGGAGTTGCTGGCCAAAGTAAAAGTCAGAGGGACTGAACTCCTGGGAATCATTCAGGTCTTCATTGTCATCATCATCCCCTCCTCTGACTTGGGTGAATTTCTTGTTGTTGTTGTTCTTCTTCTTTTTCTTGTTTTTGTTGGACCCATAGCTGGAGTCCAGTTCCACAGCCTCAACTGACCCAACACCAAGACCCTTGTTGCCCTGGTACACTGGTTCTGCTTGTTGGTGGCTTTGCTGGTAGCGCCTGTTGGAACTGGCTGCTGACATGTCATTGTCTCTGGAAAGTTTGTTGGTCTGGTCTCCAGGGGCTAGTGAGTCATCCTGGTCTTCATCTTTGCGCTCTTCCACTGGCACTGCTTGAATGATGTGGACATCACCTCCAGTGAGGATCCTTGGTTGGATCCTGTCTGCTGGTGGGTGAGACTGTGGCATGTTTTCATCTGCTTGTGAAGGAAAAATAAATAGTAATAAGAAATCATGAAGATACTTTCTGAGTTTATACATTTATTGTCCAATTTTTCTTTATTTTATTATTTTTTCAAGTGTATACTACAATTACATTGCAACTGTAGTTTATTTTTACTATCATTCAATGGTCAATTTTATGTTTATTGGTTGATGCTGTGGAGTTCAATTTTGAATGTGACAAGGAAAAATGTTTCAGGATTTTTATGTTTAAAAATTTTTTTCATTTATCTGTAATAGCATTTCAACTGTGATTCCTGTTTATTTTTATTTCATTTTTTAATGAAGTGCATAATTGTTTCTTGAGGTGGTTACAAGATATAAAAATTATGTATCCAAGTTCAACATACATTTGAGTATTTTTTTCTTATTTTATTTGATTTTGGTGGAGCCTTTCTAGATCATTTTTTTCAACTCTCTTAGTCCACATTTAGAGCTCTGAAATCCAAGAAAGTCTGAGACAGATACAACTTTATATGGAGACTTCTTGTTTATGAAGTTTTTATGATATTTCTAAGGTGCAGTATATTGTAATTTAATTAGCTTTAGTTTATTTGAAAGGCTCAGAAAGTTTTCCAATTTTCTAGTATACTAGAAACTCTATGAAACAAGAGAACAAATTCTTCAAAGGTCTTCTCTCAAATTTTTTTTCTATAAATTTATATTATGTTTCTGGGGCATAGTTTTCTTTTATTCAGATTTATCAATTTGAAAGGCTTAGAAAGTTTATTCTATTTTCTAGCCCAATAGAAACTCTTTAAAAACAAAAGAAAGAATTCTTCAAAGGTCTTCTTCTTTCAAGGTTTTTATCTTTTATAAATTTCTTTGATGTTTCCAGGGCATACTTTCCTTTCATTCAGTTTTATTAATTTGAAAGGCTCAGAAAGTTTTTCAATTTTCTAGTCCACTAGAAACTCTCTGAAACAAGATGAAAGAATTCTTCACAGGTCTTCTCTCAAATTTGTTTTTTTATACATTTCTATGATATTTCCAGGGCATAGTTTCCTTTTTATTCAGTTTTATTAATTTGAAAGGCTCAGAAAGTTTTTTTTTCTATTTTCTAGCCCACTATAAACTCTTTGAAACAAGAAAAAGAATTCTTCAAAGGTCTTCTTTCAAAACTTTTTTTATTTAAATTTCTATGAGGTTTCCAGGGCATAATTTCCTTTTATTCAGTTTTATTTATTTGAAAGGCTCAGAAGGTTTTTTTTCAATTTTCTAGCCCATTAGAAACTCTCTGAAACAAGAGAAAGAATTCTTCAAAGGTATTCTCTCAACAAAAAAATTTAAATAAATTTATATGATGTTCCCAGGGCATAGTTTCTTTTTATTCAGTTTTATTAATTTGAAAGGCTCAGAAAGTTTTTTCAATTTTCTAGCCCACTAGAAACAAAAGAAAGAATTCTTTGAAGGTGTTCTCTCAAAGTTTAAAAAAATAAAGTTCTATGATGTTTCCAATGCATAATTTCCTTTTACAGTATTAAGTTTTATTAATTTGAAAGGCTCAGAAAGTTCTTTCAATTTTCTAACCCACTAGAAACTCTCTGAAATAAGAGAAAGAATTGTTCAAAGGTCTTCTCTCAAAGTTGTTTCTTTTTATAAATTTCTTTGATATTTCCAGGGCATAATTTTGTTTTTTTTCATTTTTATTGATTTGAAAGGCTCAAAAAGTTTTTTCAATTTTTTAGTCCACTAGAAACTCTCTGGAACAAGAGAAAGAATTATTCAAAGGTGTTCTCTCAAATTTTTTTTTAAATAAATTTCTATCATGTTTCCAGGGCATAATTTTCTTTTGTTCAGTTATATTAATTTGAAAGGCACAGAAAGTTTTTTTCAATTTTCTAGCCCACTAGAAACTCTCTGAAACAAGAGAAAAATTTTTACAGAGGTCTATTTTTAGAGATTCTTTTCAACATTTCCATGATGTTTCCACAGGGCATAACTTTTTTTTTTCTTTCATTGGAATTTAATTCATTTGCAGGCCTTTCTAGCCCACCTTTGCCCAGATCCAGGGCCTTGGCAGCCTTGTGCGAGCTCGGCATCAGCCTGCCTTCCACCACGTCCGCATTCCTCCACACCTGGTTGTCCGTCTCGTCGTCGGGTTCCCGCACCCCGTGCACGATCGGGATCCCATCCGCACCCACCTCAATAATGCGGCCCTTGCGCCCGGGCAACAAGTCCCCGGTCACCTTCAGGGCACCCGACGTGATGGTCACTTCCGGCGGAACCCGGAGCATCCGGCCTTCGCGAGTCGCCGAACGGGCCCTGGCTGCTTCGTCTGCGACCGTGCCTTCAAAGTCCTCGCGTTCGATGAGCCCCACGACGACTTGTTTGGCGTCCAGGGCTGGGAGCACTTTGAGGGCCGTGCTGAGGCTGACATCTGGCGGCGAAGGTTGCGAGGGTGCCGCTGAGCATCGGGACGCCACTGAGACTAAGGCAAGTGCCGCCGCTGACACGGACATCACTCGGAGCCACGGCAACATAGTTTCTTTTGATCCCGCGATCTGATTGTTCTGTGTGGGGAGGGCGAAAAGGAACATGGAGCGACATCTGTGGCATTCTACATGTGCTGAGGAGGCGGAAAAAAAATACCAAGGCGGACTGCACCAAACTGAAGGTTAGTCATTTTGTTTTCTAACTTTTTTTAAAAAAATGAAATTCAAAAATTGCTATTTTTATTTATACATAGATTTTGTCAAGTGATGAGAGAGCACAACTCACAGACCAAAATTGAGTTTTGAAATGGTTTTTCAAACAGAAATCTGCAGTTGGGTTTTGGACAGGATTTAATACTGTATGAGGAACAGTCACCTGACCAGATATTAACACGTTTTTATTAACTCGCTTTCTTGTCCGTTTGTTTGTCCGGATCAAATTTTGCAACTCAAATTTCGCTCACTTCCCGACTAGCTAGCAAGCTGAAACTTTCAGGATAGCTTAGAAACTGATGACAATGCTGCTTTTTGAAAATGTGGTTTTTTAGATTAATTTTTTAATCTACTATATTTGTTTGTGCTTTTTAGTTTATTTATACAGTACATAGATTTTGTCAAGGGATAAGAGAGCACAACTCACAGACCAAAATTGAGTTTTGAAATGGAAATCTGAAGTTGGGTTTTGGACAGGATTAAATACTGCTGTATGAAGAACAGTCACCTGACCAGATATTTTAGTATACACTTGAGCCAGTCAGACACACCCTTGATTCAACACTGTCTTGTACTGAAAAAGTGCATGACAATCAATCACTTTTTTTAACTAAGCAAAACATTTTAAACTCATTTGCTTGAATTTTTAAAGATTTTCCTCTTTGTTGCTCACAACCATTTTTTACTATAAAACAATGTATTCATACTATGTGTGCATTTATTTTAAATGATAATAATGATAAAACCTTTTGACTTTACAAAAGAATATCATCTTGACTGGAGCAACATTTTAATCATCAATTGATTTTCCTGCTTTATTTTTATTAATATCCTCTTTCCCTTCCAACTGTTTTCCACAATTGTAAAATACACAAGAAATTTAAGTACAAAAGTTTACTATGAACCAGGATAAAACCTCAAAACTCTATACAGCACATGATAAATTTGTGACAGTAAAGTGAAACTCACTGTTGCCAACTCTCTTTTTTTTTCAACTCAGTCAACAGCTGGATACCTTTTGAACCAAAATATTCTCACACACTGGAATCCAACTCACTCAGAAAATCAAGCGAAAGTAACTGCTTCAATGCTTACAATAATAAACACACCCCATTTTTGAAAGTATGGTGTGAAATATATTTTTTATAACAAGGAAGAAATCAAGACACAATCCCTGCATTGTTTTCCAATTCACTTCCCCCCCACAATATTATTTGTCTTTTCTTTATTTCTTTCCTACATATTGTGCAATCACCTCCTCACCACTGTTTTGAAAATTCGAATATACTCCTGTCCTTTTTTTTTCATGAATTCACTGACAGAGAGAGAGAAAAAAAAATAAGGTGCTGAGAATGATGTAACTTGTCCCGCGCGGGAGTGAAAGTCAGGCAGGACACAGAACCGCTTCCCATCATGTGAGAAACAAATCATCAGCACCTTGTTTGTCAAAAGGCTTCTGTTGGGTGAAATTGGAGGGAAGTGTTCTTCTTTTTTTTTCCTCTCATTCCCTTCTTCCAGATATAAGTTTGTTTGTTTTTTTTCCAGAGGAGAATACGAAGGGGGAATAAGAGGTGGAAGGAAACGTAAACTTTCATTTGCGGAAGAAGAAAACTGTATGGACCAAAAAATAAAAAATAAAATCCCGTCATCGCATTATTAAAATGATTATTTTTCTTTTTATTATTCTTCTTGCTCATTCTGATGGAATCTTTCGCAGTGAAAGCAGCGAGGGAATGTATATATATTTTTTCCACTTCTTTCTCTTTTTCTTTTGTGTTATTCTTTTCAACAGCCAGGAAGAGAGGAGGTGAAAGCATTTCGGCTGTACTGTACTTTGTTTTTTCTTCTTCTTTTCTTGGGGTTTTTGTTTTTTCTTCTTCTTCTTCTTGGGTGAGGTGGTGCAAAACGGAATGGTTGGGGGGGGGGGCAGTGGAGTGGAAAAAATTGCAGAGAGAAAGAGGGATGTCAGGAGAGGTTCTGGTTGTGCTGGGAATTGCAGGGATGCCATGTTGGGAGGTTACAGTTGTGCCAGATGGGATAAAGTTGAGGGTATGATAGGTATGCATTAAATTCTTGGTACAACAAACTTTTGGGAACTTCAGAAATAAATTGATGGGGGGGGGGGGGACATTTTTTTAAACATTAAACCTGCATATGATCAATAAGATCTTGCTGTTATGGCATTCTTGAGTTTTTATTATTATTGTATTTGTAAAAATGCAGTGGTTTTGTGATAAAATTAATTAGCTACACTAATGCATTCCAACAGTTGCACTGATGTGGACATCTCTTCAGAACAATACTGATTAATTTGTTATGATGAGATTTTCATATCAACAAGTGGGAAAAATGTTCACATCAGACCTGCATATAATCAATCAAAACTTTCTCCTCTGGCATCATCAGGTTTTTTTTATCTGTGTCAGAAAAAAGTGAATGGTCTTTTGAAAAAAATCAGTTTAAATTATGGATTCTGTCATTTGCACCAGTCTCTTCATTCTATGAAGATGATGTGTGGAAGCACTTGGAATCATGTTTGTCATTGATAATAACAGCTTTCATTTATGCTACCAGAAATTCCAGTATATACACTATTTGAAGAATTTTAATAGATTCCTATTTAAAGAAATTGGTCAGGCAAATCTTGAAACTTCCACTCCCAGATGTGACTGTTGGGAAGTTTGTTATAACAAGATTGTTAGAACAAGTTATACTATAACAAGATTTTTTTTTAACAAGTTATACTGTCACAAGATTTGTTATAACAAGTTATACTTTAACACAATTTGTTATTACAAGTTATACTGTCACAAGATTTGTTATAACAAGTTATACTGTCACAAGATTTGTTATAACTAGTTATACTTTAACACAATTTGTTATTACAAGTTATACAGTAACAAGATTTGTTATAACAAGTTATACTGTAACACGATTTGTTATAACAAGTTATACAGTAACAAGATTTGTTATAACAAGTTATACTGTAACACGATTTGTTACAACAAGTTATACTGTAACACAATTTGTTATTACAAGTTATACTGTCACAAGATTTGTTATAACAAGTTATACTGTAACACAATTTGTTATTACAAGTTATACTGTCACAAGATGTGTTATAACAAGTTATACTGTAAAAAGATTTGTTATAACAAGTTATACTGTAACAAGATTTGTTATAACAAGTTATGCTGTAACAAAATTTGTTATTTTGTAACAAGACTCCCAATTTTCTGCTCTTGGAAATTGGAACCAGAATCTTATTGGATTGATGCTTGTTTACATGACTGGAAGACTGAAAAAGGGTTGTTTAGTTTCTCCCTTTGGTCTAATACAGTAACTAGGGTGATTCAGAAGATCAGGGAGGACAGGGCATCAAGAGTAAATACCAACTCCTGATGCCCTGTCCTCCTTGATCTTCTGAATCACCCTATAGTTGATAGACCAAAGGAAGAAAATAACATTTTTCCTGTTCTACCAGGGAAAACTTTATGTTCTGGTCCTGACCCCGTTCATAGGGGTTTTCTATGACAAGATTTGTTATCACAAGTGAAGACAATACTTGTTACAACAAGTTATGACAAGATTGGTAATAACAATTTGTTACAACAAGTTATGACAAGATTGGTAATAACAATTTGTTATAACAAGTTATTAAAATGTATAAAAATATTTACTTTAACAAGGTATTAAAATTCATAGGATTTGTTATAACAAGATAGTGTGAAGGTGTTAAAACAAGATGTTTCAACATGAACTCAATAGACTTTCTGTAAGGAGTGGAAAAAAGTCTTTTATACTGAACATTTTGATCTAATGGCACTTGTTTTAACAAGGTTTCTTTTAGATTATCATGCAGCTTCTGATCTCTTGGCAAATAATTGTGGAAGGGTTATATCCATATTGGATTTATATTTATGGTGATTTTTTGGAATGGCCTAAAATTTATTCTCTGAAATTGTAAAAACACTTCAGAAATCATCAAAATTAATTGTTTAGGAGGTTTCACTTATGCTGGGAATTGCAGAGATGTCATGTTGAGAGCTTTCAGTTATTCCAGATGTGGTGAAGATGTGTTGGGATTAAATTCTTGGGAATGTTGTACCACCTGAAGATATTTCTGGAAGGAATTGAAAAGAGGGTGTGTTTATATTTGAATTTTATTCATATTTTTTTCAAATTAGTTCTGTGTTTTTTGTGCAAATCCTGTCAAAATTCAGTATTTATTTAGATAAATATTTCTGGACCTTTTTAATGTGTTCATGATTGAAAGTTTGTAATTCAGTTGATTGACAACAAAACTGCAGAGAGAAAGATGGATGCTAGGAGAGATTCCAGTTTTGTTGAGAATTGTAGGGATCTCTTATTGTGAAGTTTAAGCTGTGCCAGATTAGGTAAGATTAAAGGTATGCTAAGTTCAGATTCTTATGCTTGTTTAAGGTATATTTCAGAATAATTGTAAGTGGTTCTATACATACTGGGTTTTATTTATGGACTTTTTCAGCCTAGTTTGAAGTTTTTATTTTCTTGTCAGTTTAAAAAAAATACAGTATTGAGATATTTTTCAAATGTGGTGTATAATGCAAGGTTTTGGGAAGCAAATTTTTGGAGTTGAAAATTTCAGAAAATAAGAGAAATGCCAGGAGAAGTTTTTGTTGTTTTGGGAATTGCAGAGACGCCATGTTGAGAGGTTGAAGTATGCCAGGTTTGGTAAGGTTATGAGAATGATAGGTGCATTACAGTACTCTAATGTGCCAGTGAATGTTTTCATAAAGAAGGAATTGTAGTGTTCTAAAAACGTTTTCTGCATTGAGATTGGCTGACACACACAAAAATTCAATTTTCATAAAATTTTGAAAGAATT